TTATAATTTTCTATTTTATATTCTTATTTTTTTGTACATTATTTTGGAATGAATTTTGTTCTAGGTAGACTAGGTTGAGGTTTTCATGAACAAGTCACCTAAGTGCTTCATGCCCGGGGCTTCCTCAACTAGTATGGAAAGCACGGACCTTTGCTGCCATTGTCTCAAATAGTAAGGAAAGTTCAGTTAATTTAAGTCAACTTCCTGCTCCTAATTCAGAGAGATGCGACTGATGTCAAATTAGTGGGCCTTTATCAAGACAACTGTGCTCATTCTGGACAAACCTCATTGGTAAACTTTTGTTAAAGAAAAGTACCATGCCAATGAAGACTGAGGGGTGGTTTGGGAGTGAGGTGCTTAAAAAAAAGCACCCATGAAAGATTCACAATCCTTGGCTACTGGTATCATTAGGTAAGGGATATTTTGATCTTCACTTTTCCACCGAAGAAGACATTAGAAAAGTGTGGGTTGGTGGAACATGTACACTTCAATTCGGTATTTTTAGGTTGTCTCAATAGCAACCGGATTTCAAGCCTGGTGACATGCTTCCCCAAACTCATGCACATGTCTTGATCAAAATATATGGGTCAAGTCAAGAATATTGAACCCTTGCATTCTTATGGAAATTTCTCATGGTGTGGGTATTCCACTTCAGTTGGATCATGCTACACGTGAAATTTATATGCCTACTATGCTAAAGTTCTGGTGGATGTGGATCTCTCTGCTGATTTGCCTTCATCTATTACGGTTGAGCGGGAACAACATGGTTTCTATGCTGATATTATTTATGAGAATTTGCCTCCAACTTGTGGTGTAATTGGCCATAACACGAGTAAAATTCGACAGTTAAATGCTTGTAATCACTAAGATGGGATGCAACCAAATGTTGAGATTCATCATCGCAGATGATCAAAAACTCATCAGGTTTATCGTTCAAAACCGTCTACTAAGACTGTTTCTCCTTCAGTTGATACTATTCACAAGGGACGTTCTCCTTCAGTTGAAATTATTCACAAAGAACATACTTTTGAACTTCATAATGGCATGGAGATTCCATTGTGTAGCTCTCTTGAGCAACGTCATGCTGACCAAGTTAACGGTTTTGCAAATCAAATACTAATGAGTGTTGTGAATAATGAGTTAAGTATGTTGACTGATAGGGTAATTGATTCGTTTGCAGTGCATCATGGACAGTTAGAGACAAATGCAGACGGATTGCTTCTTGAGTTACAACCAACCAAGGTAATACCCATGTTGAATATGATGATGATGAGGATGTCCCACCTGGTTTTGGCACGACGAAAGAGGTCAATGTTGTGGATGCATGTAGGATCCAATGACTTTACTCTCGTTCTTAGTAAATCTCAGCAAAGAAATAAAATAAAAAAAATAAAAAGCTAATGCAGCTAGGCAAGAAGAACCCTATGTTACTAGGGCAAGAAGACAAGTTATTTCAACCTCCAAATGAAGCTAGTTTACTGGAATATTTCGTAGTATTGTTAATTCTGATAAGCATACGGAGCTTTCCAATGTTTGTCATTCCCATCATTCGGATTGGTTTGCATTTATGAACCTATGGTTACTTTTAATTCTATTCCCTCTAGTCATTGGAATTCATTAGGTCTTTCTTTGCTTACTGCTACTAACAGGGGTGATTTACTACCTAATAATTGGGTTTTGTATTCTACGAGTTATTGTTCTCCTATTGTGATTTCTTCTTCAGGACAACAAATTACTTTTCAGGCTTCTTTTGATGGTGTTCTTTCTCGGTTTACTTTTTTTTTTTTTATGCGGCTACTACATCGAGTCTTCGTCGTGCTTTATGATGTGATCTTTTAAGTATTCATTCTAATACTACAATACCTTGGATGGCAATTGGTGACTTTAATGCTATTGTTGGAGCTCATGAACAAATGAGGAGTCGCTTGCTCGAATTTCGTGTGAGGACTTTCGTACTGCTATTGAGCTTTGTGAATTTACTCATATGGATACTACTTGTGCTTTTTATACTTGGACTAATGGTTGGAGTGTCTGTGGTTACATGGAGAGGCTTCTTGACCGCTCTCTTTGTAACACACGCTAGTTACAGTCTTGACCTCATACAAATTGTTCAACTTTGCCAAGGGTAGTTTCTGGTCATAATTGTCTTGTTTTCTCAGCTTTTGCTACTCTTCTTGGAGGATCCCCGACCTTTTCGATTTCAATCCATGTGGACTTTACATTCAAGCTTTTCTAATTTGGTTGCTAAGTGCTGGCAGTCAACTATTGCATACGGGTGTCCCATGTTTGTTATGTTTTTGCTAATGTCCATAGAAATATCACTATTGCTAAGGACAAACTTCATAATATCCAAAATACTGTTTTTCTAATGGGAATTTTCAAGAGAGGTTTAATGAGGAAGCTGTGGCTAAGACAACTGTCCTAGATGCTCTTCATATGTGAGAAACTTTTTGGCTTACTAAAGGTGATCGTAATATTGTTTTTTTCCATACTTATGCTCGAGGTAGGCTTTCTTCTTTCAGGATTGTTACTCTATTGGATGGTGATAATGTGCCATCTTCCCTTGTTGATATTGCTAGTCATGTGGTAAACTTTTATCAATCTTTATATAACTCTTTGTTCACTTCAAATGGAATTGAGGATGTTTGTGGTGTAATTCCACCTATGGTTAAAGAAGAGGAAAATCTTGCTCTTTCTTGTTTACCTTGTGCTAATGAACTCAAAAAAGCCATTTTTTTTCTATGGATCCCTCAAGTGCTCCGGGATGTGATTCTTTTCCTGCTTCTTTCTATCAATCATGCTTGGATTTGTTGATTTAGATGTTATTGCATTTGTACAAGATTTTTTTAAGCGGGGCTGACTTTATCTAAATATTAATTGCAACTTTGTGGTCCTTATCCCCTAAAGTAGAAAGGGTTGCTACCAGGGACGAAGCCATAAATTTAACTAAGAGGGGGCACCTTAAAAATTTCAGCTCATTTTTTGGACAAATAAAGCTAGTTTTTTTTTTTTTTTTTTTTTTTTTTTTTTTTTTTTTTTTTTTTTTTTTTACAAATGACTAATTTTATTACCCTATTGTCTAATTTTGTTTTTAATTGTTGTATTGGAAATCTAATGCTCATTCGTACTAATTAATCAAATACATGTAACTCAGCAAGGTTTAAACATTAGTACGTGAGGGAAAAAAAAGGGAGAAGGGGTGTTTAAAACCCCCCCAGGACTTACCTCCCTTCGTCCATGGCTGCTACCATTGCTTAGTATCGATCCATTGCTCTTGCTTGTGAATGAGTCTTTCGAGATTGGCATGGTCAGTTTCATGGTGGTTTCTGCCAAGGAATTGTCATCGCAACTCTTTTTTTTTTTGCAGAACTATCAATAGTTATTATTGGCGTAGAGTTTGCTTATAAGTGGGGTCGACATTGTCTTTGGCTGGAAAATGACTCTTCTAGTGTTGTTTCTACTCTCCAATCGACTAATTTTGATCCTCATTAGCCTCTTCGTACGCAATGGTCTATTTGTTTGGACTGCATTCGAAAGATGACATTCTATCCTCTCACATATATCGTGAAGGAAATGTGGTTGCAGACACTTTTGCTAACATGGTCTTGTCTTCTCCAACTTTGGTATGGCATGATTCAAATCCTATGACGGTTCTTCAGACTATGTTGGCTTTCCTGACTTCCGCTTCTCAAATAAATGTGCATCTAGGCATACAAGTTTGTCTCACCTTCTTATCTTTCTTCTTAACCTTGTGATGTTGCTTGTATCTTTGTTGTTTTTGTTTCTAGAAGGGTAAAGTTTATGTCTTCCTTTTTTCATGTATCTTTTATCATTTTTTCTTGTATTATGAGAGGTTAGGTTTATGTCTCCCTAATTAGGTGTTTTTTTTTCTTTCGATATCAATAAATTCTCTTCGTACCGTCGAGATTTTCTATAAAAAAAGAAAAAGAAAAGTGTATTTAACTAGAAACTGATTTTATAGTATGTCTGTGTGTGGAAAAAACAAGTCAGGAATTGAGGGATGTGAATTGGATTTGATGTGCTTGGCTACTTGACGCGCAGAAATCAACAATTGCCGCGCGGAAAAATTCATGAAAAGTGGGCTTTAATTTTCCGAGTTTAATTCCATCATTTCACAATTTCGATTAAGAGAGAAACTGTATCTAATTACAATTTCATTTCACTACCCACCATCTAATCACAATTTCACAAGTTCAAATAAAACTTTGACCTAAAAAAAAAAAGGAAATATAGAAAAGAAGAAACGAACTTCAATAGTCAATTCACTTCACTCTGAGAATGAATTTCTCACTTTCGTGATAGATGGATGGATTTACCTGAATCCGCTCTGAATGGAAAATGGTGATGACACTGATGGGTGTGCTTGAAATTAAGATTAGATGGTAAGTTTGTCCGTGAAAAACGCTGTATCGTAAATATGACAAAGTGCTTAATTCAAAATAATGGATCCCAGGTGGTGTGCTTCAAACAAATTTTCATGATATCAAGTGGAGGTATATTTTTAAGAAAGCAAATTTTGTTACAAATGCCATAGCGTCTGTTGGGCTGAAGAGAAAGGAGCTTTGCATTTGGGATGTTTTTCTCCCAATGGAAGCTAATATGGCTTTTCTTTTCGACGGTAATGACACTGGTTGTGTAAGGGGTTGTTCTATTTAATACATTATTTTTCCTATAAAATAATAATAATAATAATAATAATAATAATAATGGACCCCACACAAATAAAATAAAAATAAAACGAGAGAAACTAGAGCAACAGTGGATGGCGACTGGAACTTATTAGACGGGTGAGATTTGCTGCTCCGCATCGGACGGTTGCAATTGGCCGTTGACATTTCATATTCCATTCCTATGCTAGAAGACCGAGAGATCTGGATTTGATCGGTCTGGGGTTCCATTAAGGAAGAAGAGAGCAGAGATTTCCGTTGGGATCCATCGCCACCACGCAATCAAGAAAAAGAAGAAAGCCGAGTATTCCGATGGGATCCACGGCGACTGCGCAAACAACTGATTACGATGTCTTCCTCAGTTTCAGTGGCGAAGACACTCGCAGGAATTTCGCAGACCAACTACGTGCTGCTCTGAGTAACCGAGGAGTCGTCGTATTTGGAGATGATGAACTTTATCGGGGAATTAAAAGTTCAAAAATTTCAATTGTCATTCTTTCAAGAAAGTATGCCAGGTCAACATGGTGCTTGGATGAGCTTCAGCAAATTATGGAATGCAAGGAAGTGGCTCGCCAGATAGTTTTGCCTGTCTTCTATGATGTGAGCCCATCCGAGGTACGAAAACAGACAGGCGATTTCGGTGACTTTTTTGCCGAGCATGAAGGACGTTTCAATGACAATATCGACAAAGTGCGCGCCTGGAGGGATGCTCTTCGTCAATTAGCCAATCTGTCTGGATTTGACCTATACAAGGACGAGGATGGGTGGGTAGTTCCTTTCAGTAGCAAATAAATTTTATTTTATTTCAGTTTTTGCTATGTAATATGTATGCTTGTATTCTTTCCTGCTGTAATTTATGATAACATATGTTAAGCTGTCCAAAGAGATGAATTTTCGTTGCTTGCTAGCTTTTCTATTAGTTCTCTCATGAGAGAACGATAGGTTATTGTCATACATTTTTGTTCTTAAACAAAAGGCTTACACTACAATCGGGATTCTTTCAAATATTTCCGAATGATTGACATTTATTTTCTTCTGCATAGGTATGAGGCACAATTTATCCAACGAATTGTTCAATGGGTTTTGAATACATTGCAAACTCTGCCATCTTATCTTGAGGACCTAGTGGGAATTGACTCAAGAGTAGAGGAACTAAATAGGCTTTTGGACATCAAATCTAATGATGTTCGCTTCATAGGGATATGCGGAATTGGTGGATGGGCAAGACAACTATCGCCAGAGTGGTTTTTGACAACATTTCCAATGAATTTGAAATTTTCACCTGGATTACTTGTGGGCTAAGCGAAACACTGGGTCATCTGCAATTGCAAAAGAAACTTCTTTATGAGGCTTTGGGGCAAGGCATAGATGTTCCAAATGTTAACGAGGGAGCCATAATGATAAAGAACATTCTATGTAAGAGAAAGGTTCTTCTCATTTTAGACGATGTTTTCGACTTAGACCAACTGAAATCATTGGGTGGAAACAAAGAATGGTTTGGTTTGGGGAGCAGAGTCATCATTACAACTAGAAATGAGAATTTGCTAAGAGAGCATGGTGTAGAAAGCATATTTGAAGTTAAGGGATTAAGTGAGGGTGAGTCGCGTCAGCTCTTCAATATTCACGCCTTTAAAAGTGATGAACCCCGAGAATATTATTTGGATCTGTCTAAACGGGTGGTTCATTATGCTGGAGGCGTTCCTTTAGCAATCAAGGTTTTGGGATCCTCTCTGTTCCACAGAAGTCCGGGAGAGTGGCGTAATGCATTGGAAAAGCTGAAGCATGTTCCTGATAAAAATGTTTCTCAAGCACTTGAAATAAGTTATCATGGACTGGCGGACAATGAGAAAAGAATGTTTCTAGATATTGCTTGTTTCTTTCAAGGAATGGACAAGGAACGAGTGGTAGAGATACTAGATTGTTTTGGATTTAATCCGAAGGATGGGATGGAAGCTCTCTTTGAGAAATCTCTCATAACTATTTCAAATAACAAAGTGTTGATGCATGGGTTGATACAAGAATTGGGACGACAATTGGTACGCAGAGATGCTGTTGAGGATCCTGGAGAGCAAAGCAGGTTGTGGCTTCATGATGATGTCATTCATGTATTGAGGAATAATACGGTAAGTGGTTTTGAAGGAAGATGGAGTATACTAATTTAGTAAGTACTTCTAAACTTAATTATACTGTCTAATGAACTTATTCTGAATTCTCTGTTATCAGGGTACAAATGCAGTTGAAGGTATAGCCTTAGACTTCCCTAAATTGAAAGAGGCATGTTGGGACTTGGAGGCCTTCTCGACGATGCATAATCTCAGATTTCTCCAAATTCATAATCTGCGAATGACCCAAGGCCCAAAAAAACTTTCTAATGCCTTAAAGTTTCTTGAATGGAGTGGGTATCCTTCAAAATTTCTCCCACGAGAATTTGAACTTGAGCAACTTTGTGAAGTTAACTTGTCCCATAGCAGCATTGGACAACTTTGGAATAGAACAAAGGTCAGATTATGGGTAGCACATAAAAAGTTGGGTTTTTTTTTTTTTATATAAAGTACTAAATTTTGTGCTTTAATGTTTTGAACAGTGCTTAGGCAATCTGAAATTCGTTAATGTTAGCTACTCCCAGAACCTGACCAGGACCCCGGACTTTACTGTTACTCCAAATCTTCATAGATTAATTCTTGAAGGCTGTACAAACTTGGTGATGATCGACCCATCCATTGCTGAGCTCAAAAGGCTTATTTTCTTAAATCTTAAGGACTGCAGAAGTCTTAAACGCCTTCCCAAATGTTTTGAAATGGAAAGTCTTCAAATTCTTATTCTTTCTGGTTGTTCAAAAATTAATAAAGTTCCAGAATTTGTGAGACCTATGGAAAACTTGTTGGAACTTTATTTAGATAAGACTGCTGTAGAAGAATTACCTTCTTCGATCGAATGTCTGACTGGCCTTACTTTATTAAACCTGAGAGATTGCAGAAATCTCAGTTCCCTTGCAAGCAGTACTTGCCAGTTGCGTTCCCTCAAAAGTCTCAATCTCAGTGGATGCTCAAAGCTTGAAGAACTGCCAAAAAACTTGGGAAATATGGTTTGTTTGAAGGAGCTTGATGTGGGCGGTACCTCTATTAATGATCTACCATCCTCCATTTCCCGCCTGGAAAATCTTGAATTGTTATCCATTTGTGGTTGCAAATCGATGCGAAGAAAGAAGACAAGTCTACTGAGTTTGCTGTTGCCGACCACAGATTCTGGTTTGCTTTCTTTGACAGTGCTGAATCTCAGTGACTGTAATCTTGAGGAGGTAACAATCCTGGAAAATCTTGGCTGCTTGTCCTCAATAGTATCGCTTAATCTAAGTAAAAACAGTTTTGTTAGTCTTCCCAAGAGCATCACAGAGCTGTCTAAGCTTCAGATTTTGAATTTGGGTGGTTGTAAGTGTCTTAAAAAATTGCCGGACCTTTCAGCAGAATTGAACTTGAGTGTTGAGGGAAAAGGCAGTTTTTCACGGGAAAGGCTGTCATCATGTTTCAGTTTTATTAATTGCTTTGAAGTGGTTGACGACCAAGGCTGCAACAATGTAGCATTTGCAGCGTTAAGGAGATTCCTTGAGGTTCTCTCTCTCTCTCTCTTACACACACACACAGAAAAAGAAAAAAAAAAGAAAAAAAAAAGAAGCATTTTGTACTTATTTACAAGACGGACGTATCAATTGTTTAACTTCACTATTTGTAATTTTGTATCATATAGGGAATCCCTTACGTAGGGAATAATTTTGAAGCTATATATCCTGGCAGTGAAATTTCTGAGTGGTTTGGTTATCGAAGTGAGAGGCCTGTGGTAAGCGTGGAGCTCCCTCAACACTGGTATAAGAACGAGTGGATGGGATATGCATTGTGTGCTGTTTTCACTCTCCGTCGACGACTCCCACCTAATCTGCTTGGTAAATGGAACTACGGAACCCATACCACTGCACATGGTCTTCGTTGCGAAGTTAAGCCTGGGAATTTGGGTGTAGGTGGCTGGTGTCCTTCCTTCGCCTGCAGCGAAGAATTAGGGCAAATTGAGAAAGAGCACATTTGGCTATCCTTTGTATCTGGTGAATACTTTGGTACAACATGGCAAGACAGTTGTCATCACCTTGAGTTTACATTTAAACCTTAGGCTCTGGTTTGGAGGTGAAGAGGTGCGGAGTCCGTCTCATCTACGAGAGTGATTTGGTTGGATTAAAGCAACCTTCATCTAGAGGAAACAAGCAAAACAAGCAACTCCAGTGAGTACGATGCAGTCTCAAAGAACATCTGTTTATTCAAGGAAGCTGGAAACCGGTTATGAGATGAGGTACTTTCTTTACCTGGTAAATGAACTCCGCCGTGTAAGTTTATCTTACATTGCCGGTCCCAAGCCCGGATAAAGGAGGAGGGGGAGGACGTCAGGTAGTCGACAGCCGGCACTCCATGATTACGTCGAATCCTTATATTATCTTGATCGACGTCATGCACAATTTTATTATAGTTTCTTTTTTCTGAGTGAAATGCTTGAAAGGCGTTATGGTAATTAACAATGCATCCGTGAGAATCAGATTCAACTGTATTTGATTAACGAGTGTAAAATGCATTGGAATGATCTGTCTGTACTTCTTGCTTAGACCTTATGCATCCGAATTCAGTCCTCAATGATATCCAAATTGATAAATTGCCCATCATCTGGACGCCTAACGTTGACCATAAAAAAATATTGACCCCAAAATTTAAGGGGTATTTGAATCATCAAAAACTTTGACGGGGCAGTGGTGCAATGTCCTTCCTTTTAATTCAGATTTTCTGAAGGAACCCATGTTAGGCTACAAACAGGTTTCTGAGAAAGTTGGAGTGAGGGGTTGTACATTGAAGAATGTAATTGATAGGCTAAAACTATGAGTGAGTTTGTTGTTTCTAGTCAAGGCGATTTTAAAAGATTCAGAAGATATGATGCCACTTAATATGGTCCAGTAATATTCCTCTTCACTATTTTAGATTCGACTTCCTTGCTAGACGGTGAGTTGTATCTCTCATTGTCCTTCGCAAGAATCTCTAGTAAATTGACTCATGCTAAGTTGTTTAATCACTTTACATAAAACTTGTGTGATAAGCCACTTAGTGCTAGGGGTGGGCACTTGAAACCCAAAACCGAAACCCAAACATGAACCAAATTGAACCGCACTGAATGGTTTGGTTTTGCGGTTTTGAAATGGTTGTGGTTTTGAAACCGAACTGCAGTGTATGAAACGGTTTGGTTTCGGTTTTGGCTTTTGAAAATCGCACCGAAACCGAAATCGCACCTCAAATTAGATGTCGTGTTTTAATTGGTGGTTTGTTAGAGTCCATAGATCTAGTGTTTACATTTCATAATAATGATTATTTTTCCCAAAGTTATAACCCTTATCAAGCTTGGCATCTTCACTGTTTCTTTACAGGAAAAGATGAACATTTTATTACCAGTAAAAGCACCTCAGAATCCTAATTTTCAAGTAAGAGTTAGTCACAAAATGAGAGATACAAAGACCAATCTCTGATCAAATAATAAGCCACATCTAGGGATGGGCAACGATTATAGCGGATGGGTAACTGCAGTTATTTACCCATAACCGTTTATGTTCATACTCGCATAACTGTTTACCCGTTGGGTAATTGCATAAACGGTTATACCCATACCCATAACCGTTTATAAACGGTTAACCATACCCATAACTGTGTACCCATTTAACCATAACCGTTTACCCATTTAACCATAACTATTTATCCGTTTTTGAATCTGTTTATCTTTTTTTTACCTATTTACCCATTTTTTTCATCCATCTACATGTTTTTTTTTAACAACTTGAAAATTACAAAACAAGAATATGCTCTGCATCGTACTGATCAACCATCATGATGAACCTAGGCAACTATAATTTGTCTGCACTACGCATTGAAATATTATCGTTCTTTTGAACTTCAGGGTTGGGGAGAGACAGTTATGGTAGGTGTCGACAAGCCAGGGTCAGAGCCTCAAAGGCGAGCCTTCCCTTTCATGATATCCTTCACAGCGGCAAAACCCTCATGGGATCCTTATTTGGAGGACTCGAACCTAAATCGGATATCCCTGCTCTCATCAATCGTTACATGGACAAGGTGATTTAGCACTTAACTGTTTACTTGAATTGTTTTCGCCTCACAATGGCGAAGATGAGACAAAGGGCAGTGAGGAGGGAGAGATGAGCGGGGGACAAGGCGTTTAAGACTCTGAGTTTGGCGGAGTGATTGAAAATTTAGGATTTAAATTTTTTTTTTAAATTTTACATATATTAAATTAAATGGGTAAATGGATACCTGTTATAACCGCTAGTAATACCCATAATCGATGGATACCCGTTATAACCATGGATAATACCCATAACCGCCCATTTAAATTTCATGGATAAACGTTTATACCCATAACCGTTTGTTCGTCTAAACGGTTACCCATAACCGTAACCGTGAACTTTAAATGGATGGGTAACCGCGGTTACCCAAATCCATGGTATTTTGCCCATCCCTAGCCACATCACTCCATTTGGGTGCTTTTTCCTGCTCAGTCACAGAGTCCATCATTCGTGCAATTAGCTAGCTATGCTAAGCTAGTTGTTTATATATCATTCTCCCGTACCATTTTCTTGTTGTGATCAAATGTACATTAGAGAATAGAGAGAGCAGTAAAGAAAAGAATTCTCATATGGGTTGATTAATTAATATATTGTGTGAAAAATGAGACCGTGTTATGCGTATATAGGTATAAATTTTAAATTGTAAATTTTTTTCTTTTCTAAAACCGAACCAAAACCGTTTGAAACGGCACCGAACCAAACCAAATGGTTTGGTTTCATTTCGGTTTTGGCTTCAAAACTACATCGGAAAAGGTAATACGTATGTTGAATATGATGATGATGAGGATGTCCCACCTAGTTTTGGCACGACGAAAGAGGTCAATGTTGTGGATGCATGTAGGATCCAATGACTTTACTCTCGTTCTTAGTAAATCTCAACAAACAAACAAACAACAACAAAGCCTTTTCCCACTAAGTGGGGTCGGCTATATGAATCCTAGAACGCCATTGCGCTCGGTTTTGTGTCATGTCCTCCGTTAGATCCAAGTACTCAAGTCTTTTCTTAGGGTCTCTTTCCAAAGTTTTTTCCTAGGTCTTTTCCTTTACCCCTTCGGCCCTGAACCTCTGTCCCCTAGTCACATTTTCGAACCGGGCGTCAGAGTCTTAGGCCTTCTTTGCCACATGTCCAAACCACCGGAACTGATTTTCTCTCATATTTCCTTCAATTTCGACTACTCCTACTTTACCTCGGATATCCTCATTCCCAATCTTATCCTTTCTCGTGTGCCCACACATCCCACGAAGCATCCTCATCTCCGCCACACCCCATTTTGTGTACGTGTTGATGCTTCACACCCCAACAATTCTGTGCCATACAACATCGCTGGCCTTATTGCCGTCCTATAAAATTTTCCCTTGAGCTTCAGTGGCCTACGACGGTCACACAACACGCCGGATGCACTTTTACACTTCATCCATCCAGCTTGTATTCTATGGTTGAGATCTCCATCTAATTCTCCGTTCTCTTGCAAGATAGATCCTAGGTAGCGAAAACGGTCGCTTTTTGTGATCTTCGCTAGATTGCTCCAGTCATTAGTGTGGATAAGTATATAAATGGATAGAGATAGGGAAGCAAACACAAGATGTACGTGGTTCACCCAGATTGGCTACGTCCACGGAATAGAGGAGTTCTCATTAATTGTGAAGGGTTTACACAAGTACATAGGTTCAAGCTCTCCTTTAGTGAGTACAAGTGAATGATTTAGTACAAATGACATTAGGAAATATTTTGGGAGAATGATCTCGTAATCACGAAACTTCTAAGTACCGGAGTGTGGTATCGTCTTGACTTGCCTTATCTGTCTCATAGGTAGATGTGGCATCTTCTCTGGAAGTACTCTTCCTCCATCCAGGGGTGGTATCTTTAACTGGTGGAGATGCACAAGGTAATGTATCAATTTCAGGCTTGATCAAGCGCGATACAAACCATGTAGTAGGAGTCCCCCAAGTCGCCGAGCTAGGGGATCTGTTGAAAGAGGTGACAGACAAGGTAAGCAACCAGAGCTCTGGCTGATTGTTCACATTCTCCCTATCTTGCAGGCAGCATGAAGGATAAAGAGAAGAAAAATGAGAAGAGATGATATGGGATACTTTTGCTTTTGAATAAATAACTTTCCACATGCTTATTCTTGAACTGGGCTGGAGGGTTTTCTGGTTTCCTCCAGAGTATAAGGCCGACTGAAGAATTTGAGGGTAAAAACAAGTCCATCAAATCTAGAGTACGTTCGACCCTGCTGATATGGGATACTTTTGCTTTTGACAGAGTAGTGGATGTATCGGCACGTGTGCTGTTACGCTTGTCTCCACATGCTTCTTTGTATCCTTCTCACTTGCCCTATCTGTTCCTCAGGCAGATGCGGTATCTTCCCTGGAAGCATAAGATGTTGAAGATGAGTACTCGAGAGCAATGCCAGGTAAGTACTCAGGTAAGGGGTTCCAGGCAGTCAGTTCCTGGCTGGAAGCTTGATTCCAAGTGCTGACTGATTGCTCTCTTTCTCATTGTCTTGCAGGTAAGAACAAGGCCAAAGGAAAAGACAGGGAAAAAGCATGATATGGGATACTCTTGCTTTTAACCCTGATGATATGAGATATTCTTGCTCTAGTATAGCTTGTTTGCAGAGGTATTATCGGGGGGAAAGAAAGCTGAATATTTCGAAAGGCTTCGTCCCTTTCAGATAAGAGGAAGGGTTGAGCATTTTTACAGGTCTGCCTGTCCGTTGGGGATGAAGGTCGACATATATAGAAGTTTCCCTAACATCAAGTAATAATGCTATTCCTTTACCCTGCTTGGTCATAGCACGGTAGTGGGAGCTGCCAGCTTCACATGTTTTAACTCTGTCAGAGCACTTTGAAAAAGTGGTATGTGGTATCTGGAAAGCTGATGTTGCATGTGAAGATTACAGACAAGCTTTATCCAAGGAGATTCAGCTCTTGAAGTTGGGAAAGTGGTGCCTCTTCGGTTTTCGAACAAGCAATCCTGTCGGGGATCTGGCTCTCGAGATTCGGAGAACGATGCCTCTTCGATTTTTTTGAGAAAGCAATCCTGCTGGGGGTCTGGCTCTCGAGATTCGGAGAGCGGCGTCTCTTCGATTTTTCAGAAAGTAATCATGTTGGGAGTCTGGCTCTCGAGATTTGGAGGGCGGTGCCTCTTCGATTTTGGAGCAAGCAATCTTGTTGGGAGTGTTTTCTTGAATGTGAGTAAAGGTTGGGCAAGTTTGCTAGTCTACATTGCCACGAAGCACAGAGGTTGACACACAGGGACTTTCCAATTATCCAGCAGTGGTACTGATCCTTTACCCTCTCTTCGATTTTGAGAAAGTAATCATGTTGGGAGTCTGGCTCTCGAGATTCGGAGGGCGGTGCCTCTTCGATTTTGGAGCAAGCAATCTTGTTGGGAGTGTTTTCTCGAATGTGAGTAAAGGTTGGGCATGTTTGCTAGTCTACCTTGCCACGAAGCACAGAGGTTGACACACAGGGACTTTCCAATTATCCAGCAGTGGTACTGTTCCTTTACCCTCTCTTCGATTTTGAGAAAGTAATCA